TCCGTTTTACTTTTTATTATTTTAAAACTGTCTCAGGTACAGATTCAAGACGTCATAAATCACAATCATAGAGATGTATTAGCATCTTAAGATATCTTAAAACGGTCTTGGAAGTAAAAAAAAAAACAAGACTACAAATATGCGACTATAATCGTCCCAAACATTTCGAACTTGTGGCACGAATAGAAGCTGTGTCCCTTCGAACGGTCGGTGACACGTCGTCGCGGTGACTTCGCGCGACTCTCGTCGATGGATAAAAATCGCGGAGCCGGCCGCAAGACTTTATAGAGTCTCGATGGCTCCGGGGGTTTCTATCTCGCTTCCAGCCCCGTCTCTCGTCGTCGTCGTCGTCGGTTTTTTCGCTATCTTTCGTCCTTGCTCGCACTATGTACGGCATATACCCGTACATACCCGCAGTCAGATAATCGTAACAGTCAGTCCCGCGCTGTTCGTTGCCGCTCGTAAAGTCTCCGGCACACCCGGAGGAGGAACAGCGCGGAAGGAACGACGGCGGATCAGGACGAGGCGAGGTTACCGCGTCTTTGTTTAACTGCCGCGTTTATTGCCGCGGTGATAAACGGACGCGAATGCGAGCGCGCTTTCGAGATAAACGCGAGCGAGCGAGCGAGCGGGTCGCGCCGTCTCGCGTATACACCGCGCGGAAACGGCGACCTAAATTTTAACGATAAATTCCAGAATCCTAATGTTCCGAAACGTTTCTCACGCGGGAACTTCCAAGAGAAATTAAGCGCGAATATCCCGAAAGAATAAAGTTTAAATAAACAGCCAAGTTCTTATGCTAGTTCTCGAATCCATTGTTTCCTTGAAATTTTACAGTCGTGGAAACGTCCATTTTCGAGCTTGTCGTTAAAGCATAAGATTGTAGGCAGAGATGTCCCAGGTATATATTAGTTAGACCACGAGATAATGTAGCGTAACGTAATATCGCGATGTACAGCGACGAAAGGAAGAGAATGAAAATAAGGTGCGGATTAAATTATCGGAATCCGGTGTCAAGGTATTCCAGGCATCTCTTAATGAAATCCTAGACTTTTGCAAAAATGAAGTTAGGTCTTGAAAGTGCTTCGCTTAAATTGCTGAAATTTTTTACATCCTTAAGTTTCCGAGATGTAACGTAGTAGCTTGGCATATTTGAAGTCCTCCCTCGCATACCAAACACGATCATCGCATAAGATCACGCATCTTCCGCGGGTCATAACGCGTGATACAAACTGACACAAATACGAAAGTAAAGCAGTCCCCTCAGCAGAGAAATTATTATTCTTTCCTCCGTTAAAATTTTTTTTCTTCGTAAAAATCGATCCTTTAAAATGCAATATTCGATCAAGTGCAAGCGTCAATTCGATATCGTTGAAACTGAAAATTATTACCGTTAATAAATTCACTCGGCACTTTCTTCACAGTGTACGACTCATTTTTCGTTCGCTGTACTTTTGCATTTTCTCCACGAGAAAATGGAGCGAGGAACCGCGAGCGTCGCACCGCGTGCGCACCCGTGCGGAAGAATCTACCCTCTTGTATTCCCATCCTCTCCCTTCCCCCACCTCCTCTTCCTCGTGTGTGTTTTATTGCAAATTGAGGTTAAAGTCTCTGGCACGAGGCCAGACATTTCACCTAGGCCGTTGCATTCCGGCAAATACATGCGAGCGTTATATGCTCGCATATGTCTCTGGTGCGCACGCGCGCGCGCGCGCAAAAGCACCTCGATCACGTAGAAGACGCGAAGAGGAGAGCTCTTACCTGCGCCGCTTGCAGATTCTGAAGTACAATTCGCGTGTATGTGTATGATAGGTGTCTGAAATAGAGAAAGTCTCTCGAATCCGAAGTAACTTTTTTCCTGATCAAAAGGCCGAGATGTCATTTGTCTCTAAATTGCAAACGATTGAAAGAAGATTCTTTACTCATCAAGCTTGCGATAAACCGACATAATTAGGTACAAAATAAAAGAATATGTATATGTGTACGTAATGCTAGATATATCGAAAAATATCGCAAATTTTTTGTGAGACCATTTCTAAAAATTTCCTCCGACAAATAAGATTACAAATATTTCCAGAAAACATTATTGAAAATTTGAAGAATTAAAAAGAAATAGAAAATATGTGTCATACGTGTATAATTTTGTTGCTACTTTTTGCGATGAAAAGATAAACGAAATCATAATCATGCACATAAGCAAAAATTTAATATAAGTATACCGAATAAATGTATCAGATGAAAAATAATCTAATAATCTACCTATCTAACTGGATTGTCGCATCGGTCAATTTTACTCTCGTGAGATACACACGCGTGAGGTACTCACATGAGATATAAATTAAAAAAAAGAGAGAAAGAAATGATGCGATGGATAATATACTATAATATCATTAATGTACATCGAGATAATAGCATCTTTGCCGCCGATGGATATAGATGGACGCAGTACGTGTAAACAGCATCTTTTTCCGACATATGGTAATCTAATTAATAGTTGCATGAAAACTTCGTGTGTTGCATGTGTGTGCGACATACGCGTGCATACATACACGCATGTGCAAACAACATATTTATTATGATTCTGGAGATTTTCGTTCTCTATCTCTTCCATTTTTCCCCTTTTCTCTTTTCGTGAGGCTTTTAAAATACCAATTTTCGATAATTTTATTTTGCATATTTAATTAAATATGAAAAAAAGAAAAAAACAAAAGAAAATATGCACGTTATATATGGGATTATTTAATATTTGACCGCCACAATAATTCAAATTTTTCATGCGCGAACTCATTTTTTATCGATGCCCAGAAGCAAAACTGAACAATATATGTGTAAATATTTGTAACACTCTACCTTTATGATGCAATAATAATTTAAATTGAATATTATGATGAGCAAACAATTTTCTCTCCCCTGTATATTTAATTTTACCGTCGAATATTATATTTAAAATTTTTCTGAAAGGTTTACATCCACTTTTTATTATAATTTGATATTTAATATAATAGAAAAATTAAATTAATAAAATAATAAAAGATTCGACTTTTACATTTCTCTATAAATGACATAGGTGCTCGAAAATATGTCGTTGACCAGAAGACAGATGCAAAGCGATAGATAACGAGATTTCTTCTTAACTATGTAACACAAGATATGGATAAAATTAGATTATCTCGGTGCTCTTGATGTCGATAACGAACCAGTTAGGAGGCAAATTGCGTTTCAACTAAGAAAATTATGCACTGAAACTGGAACCTGGAACGATAATGGCCAACACGTGAATCGCTTATGAGATAATAATTAAAATTGGCTGACGATTGATCGATCGAGCTCTGCGCCTGCACATAATGATAAACCAATGTTACGTACGTGTATAATCATTATTTCCGGAAAGGATTTATGGGTAAAATAGTTTAGTGGCGAAATAATTTTAGTGGCGAGTGAATAGAGGATTTACGGATGTTCTGACTTTACTTTAAGAACTCCTTAATTTATTTTTACCCGACATTTTCAACTGGTTTTATCGACCCTCTCCATCGCCAGGAAGTCGTTAGTTCTCTTTATGCCCTCTATAATCATCGCGGAATTTCTTTCGCTCCAATTCGAATCACCTTCCGTCCCATCCCATTCACCCGTCCGCTTTTCGATACCGTTTTACCAACTTATTAATCCACGTTCTCCGCCACGCTCGTTTCCCGTCGTTTATAACGAGGCGTGCCAAGCGTTTCACGAATCACCGGGATGTGTCGTTATCCTTTATTAGCCGGCATTACGGCAGGCGGTCAGGAAACGTGGCGTTACGCCAATGGCACGCACACGCGTGCAAGCGCCGACTACACGCGAGGGTAATCGTATCTCGACGCTGCACGCGTGCAACCCATTACATGTATCGCGTTACACTCGGCACGCACACACGCACGCACGCACGCACGCACGCACGCACGCACGCACGCACACACATATGCACTCTGTCAAGCGGACGAATGCACGGGGTGTCGCGATAAAAACCCAGTCGACCAGAAAGACCAGGCCAACTCGCTTGTTCACCGATTTTTACCGCCTTTCTATCGCGACTAACCGGTTCCGGGGAATACCGGTCGTTCCTTTCTATCTACGAACCGATCCACCCGTGCAGGTGACCTCTTTAAGTCGTTAAGTTACGACTTAA